TCATGCCCTCACCCTCCCATCGCAACTACTACGCTGCGTATGCCCATCATCATTGTCCTCAAACGAAGAGCGAGCGGAAAAAGCGAACGATGGCGGGAAAACGACCATCAGCGTTATGTATACGACATTTAGGGTGTGATGGAACGTCTCTCCGACTAATTAGCCCTACCAGCAACGACTCTGGTCGCATTGAAGTGATGATTGGAACACTGATTACACAACAACATCACCATCATCATAATATCATAATAATAATAATAATGATAATAATAAGAAGAAGAAGAAGAAGAAGAAGAAGAGGAGATTGATGGGATGATTGATTACTGCTTACCATAATTGCTCGCCATCATTTTCAGACTTCAAAGGTGGAAGTGGCGGAATCAGAGCGGCTGAGTGGCTGTGTTCAGCTTCTCTGCCAGTGCGAGCTGTGACCTTGTCAAACTGGCTAAGTACAACACCAGCAGCAGATCTTGCACGCTGTCATTGAACAGTTTGTCGAACGCATCCCGTCCGATTCTCGGGATCGCGGCGACCGTGTCAGCCAGATACCGACCGATGGCGTTGTCAGGTGCCACGTGGCCTTCCACGACGGTATCCACGTACTTAATTACATCCTCCACCATACCAAGAAGTCGCTGCATCGAGACCTCCAGACCCTCTAGATCGTTGGGTAGGTGGTCCACTGCCGTCTTCTTCAGCACCTCAAATCCCATCCGCTCCGCTTCAATCATTCTCAGATCCAATTGAATCTCTTGGAACTGCGCCGCCAGCTGTCGTTCGCCCAACGACAGAGTGCTTGCCACGTAAGCTTTCAAAATTCCCGCCCTTTTTTCGCTCTTGAATGATGTATCGATCGTCAGGTGAACTGGATTGCCCACCTCGCGGCCGTAGAAGTCCTGAATCAAGGCATCGCTCCCGCTAACCCCTTCCCCTGTTGAGTACCAACCCACGATTACCTCTTTAGGGTTAACCCGCTGATGCAGATCGAACATGTTGCGATGGAAGTCGATGTCCACGGCAACTTGGTCGGAGGACTCGTTGTGAGGAACAGAGTAAGAGTTCTTGATCTCCAGAGATCCGTCGCCTCCATAGCTGCCCAGCAGCGTGCCAATCACTCTCTCCTGACCTTCGTTGCGTCGGATGAACGAGTCGCAAATATTGAACAGAACGACGGGATGGATCTTGGCCGTCAGCGCCGTCGGCCCCGACGGCAGCTGCAGAATCGAACTGTCTCCCATCGTCGTCGCGATAGCGCGTGTACAACACACCCAACAGCACTTTACAAGCCTGCAAGCTTGCAAGAATCCGGCTATGGAGGCGGCGGCGGCGGCGGCGGCCACAAGCGCTTTCCTTAAACCTGCTACGGCCTGCAGCAGTGGGGACAAGCTCTTCTTCTGGCTATGGAGGCGACTACAAGCTCTTCTGGCTATGGCGGCGGCGACGGCGGCCACAAGCGCTTTCGTTAAACCTGCTGCTGCAGCCTCAAGCAGCGAGGACAAGCTCTTCTGGCTATGGCGGCGGCCACAAGCTCTTGTTATCACTTACAACGCCTGGGTAGCAGCCCTGCAGCGGACAAGCTCTGGATATGGCGCCGGAGGCCACAAGCTTTCGTCACACCTGTTGTCGCCTGCACAAACAAGCTCTTGGCTATGGCGAGACCCGCAGCAGCGAAGGAGGACGAAGACGAGTAGGAGGAGGAGGAGGAGGAGGGGGAGGAGGCGGCGATCTGTCTGGTCTGCGGCTGTGGTCCTTCGCGCTGACTCCAAGTCCCATAGCAGGAACAAAAACACACCTCCTTACCTCACTTCACCCCCACCTTGGTCCCCCCAACACCCGCCTACACTCTCCTTCCCCGTGCTCCCTCAAACGCATCACTCGCCCTCCTCAATCCAGAGAGGGGGGGCAAAAAGGTCATACGCAAACCCCTCGCTTGCCCTAAAGCCGGTCTGAATTCTGAGGACAACGAAAACGAACCACGGAGTTTGATGTCAACCTCTTTTTTTCCGGGGCAAGGTCAGGATCTCTTAATTCGTGCAAGTGGGACCTAGCCCCCGGTCGTTCCGTGGAACCCTGCCGGTAGCCTCGGGTCCCCCGCCGGACCAACTACCGACCCTATAACTGCCGGTACCGTCGGATCCGTGAACCGACTACCCGTAGTGGACCTGTACCGCGGCCACATCAGGAACTGCCCGCGGCAATCGTTTGGCGCGCAGCGAATCCGACGATAGCCTGCCTTGGTTTGCCCCAAAGGGCCAAAATCAACGTCCAATCCCTCGCCCTCCTTGCTGAAGGCTGCAAAGATCCAATTGTTAACAAAAGGGGTCACGGGTTCAGGTCCCTTGACTTGGGGGGTTAAACCACCAGTACCTCGCCCAGCTATAAAAAAAAGTTGCCACCGTTAACGCGCCGCTACTTTCGGGGGTCGGGGAGTTGAAGGACCGGTAGGAGCTCTTTCTCTTTAGAAAATAAAATAACCCCCCCCCCAAAAAAAAAACGAGATACCACTTCAAAAAACAAGCAAAGAAAAAAGAAAAAGGAACAACAAAATTGATCTCTCTCTCTCTCTCTCTCTCTCTCTCTCTCTCTCTCTCTCTCTCTCTCTCTCTGTGGGTTGCTGCGCGACTACTATTGTGAAAAATGGGAATGAATCTTCCGCTACAAGGCGGCATGATTCATTCGCGTCCCTCAGTCGACTCCCCCGCAGTGAAGGCACAGAGAGAGAGAGAGAGACAGAGAGTCGGCGCATTGCACGGCTGGCCGCGTCGAACGCGCCGCCTCTCTCTCTCTCTCTCTCTCTCTCTCTCTCTCTCTCTCTCTCTCTCTCTCTCTCTCT